ATGCATAGTTATCCCTGTCCATTTTCTCCTAGTGGTGCACAATTTTATAGACACCTCCAGCACTTTTTCTTCCAAGCTAAACATTCCCTGACATTCTACCCTCTTCCTGTAGAGAAGTTATTCGTGACTTCTGATCATTTTTGTTGCCCACTTCTTCCAATTTGCTAACAGAGCCATGCAAAGTATAGTAAACATGTACATGTTTATAAGAACATAACGTCTGCAGTTTTATTTTCAATCTTAGCATGGAATTTGCCTTTTCACAGCTGTTGCACAGTGCACTGAAATTTCTTTGAGCTCCATTGGACAGCAATTTCCTCCTTCCCTTTGAATAGCAAACATTATGAGGGAAGAATGACAGTGTGTGTGTTTGTGTGTGTGTGCTTGCACACACGCATAGCTAGTTTCTGAATTTTGCACCCTTTTATTGGTCAAATGGAAGGAACTTTGGCTGGCTTAAAGGGGAAACAACATTCATTAGCAGCACAAAATTGTTGTTGTTGCTGTTAGTCGCGAAGTCGTGTCTGACCCCTCACGACCCTATGGACAACATTCCTCCAGGCCTTCCTATCCTTTACCATCCCCTGGAGTCTGTTCAAGCTGACGCCTACTGCCTCGATGACCCCATCCAGCCACCTCATTCTCTGCTGTCCCCTTATTCGTTTGCCCTCAGTCTTTCCCAGTGTTAGGCTCTTCTCCAGTGAGCCCTCCTTTCTCATTAGGTGGCCAAACAGCTTAAGACCAAAATTTAAAGAGTGATTTTGTTTTGAGTAACAGAATCAAAGGGGGAGATTAATATGATTAATCTAATTATGTGTATTTGGTTTTAAAAGTTACCCATTATGGAATGAGCCTTAGAATGGCAATGTTAAAAACTATCCCTTTGTCCAAGAAATCCAAGTTGGAGTTATAGAAATCTGCAAATGATTCTTTCCATTGAAAAATATTTAGTTTCAGTTATGGATTTTTTCAGTTGTCTTTCAATTTGATCTTGTTCCTACTCTAGGCTATAATTTATTGACCTTGGGCTAAATTAAAGGGAGGAGGGAATTAAGTTTGATGCCCACAAGCTGTTCTGACTAAACATCGAGCAGAAAAAGGTCACACACGAAATGTACTTTGCAGTTCTCCAAAGCTCTCATGTCCCCTGTTATATCCAGCGTAAACTGCTCTTGTGTTTGTAAGTCTGATCATTTTTAATTGAATAAGAAAGGGGATAAGAGGATCTTTATAATTTGAATGAACAACGAGCGTTCTGGATAATGTAATTTTATATTTGTATTACTAATGGATTGAAACCTGATCCTCTTCAGTGCGACTTGTTGTACAAGTACTGAAATAGTCACGGCCAGAGGAGTCAAACTCGACTTCATTGAGGGCTGTATCAGGGTTGTGTTTGACCTTGGAGGGCCATAGTGGGTGTGGCCATGATGGGAGTGGCCATGGTGGGCATGGCTAGCTCGATGTCACTCGTGTTGGGGGCACCTGTGGTGGCCAAGTGCTAAGGCAGGACTTCCTTCAGACCCTCCCCCTCATTATAACTTCCTTCTTTCCTTCCTTTCTTCCTTTTCTTCTTTTTCATTCCCTCTGCATTCTTCTTTCTTCTTCTTTCTTTTTGCTGGCAGAGGGATGTAAAAGGTCATAGCAGCTGAAAATGGGGCACAGGGGGTCGCGTGCGGCCTCCCACAAGCTCCATGTTTGCTGGCAGAGGAACCACAGGCCCACCCTTTGCTGTTTCCAGGCCAGCCTCATGGGCTTACAACTTACGACCACATTTGAGCCGAAAATTTATGTTGTTAAATGATCTTTTGTTAAAGTGAGTTATGCCCCATTTTACAACATTTCTTGCCACAGTTGTTAAGTGACCCACTGCAGTTAACAAGTTAGTAACCTGGTTATTAAGACAGTCTGGCTTCCCCAATGACTTTGCTTGTCAGAAAGTTGCAGAGAGTGATCACATTACCCTGGGACACAGTGATGGTCATAAGTATGAACCAGTTGGCATACGTCTGAATTTTGATCACATGATCCTGCAAAGGTTGTAATTGTGAAAAATGGTCATAAGTGCTGTTGTAACTTTGAACGGTCACTAAAAGAAAGAGAAAGAGAGAGAGAACAAAATTATTCTAGTCCAATTTCAGCACCTAAAATAAATATTTTGTCGGGTCTATTCAAAAGGAACACAAACATGTAAAATGCATGTTGTCTTTGCTTAACAACTGGTTCCTTAGTGATCATTCAAATTAGGCAGATTCTCCAAAGGTACTTATGACTAGATTTTGAAAGTCTAACACAGGGTGTCAAACTCAAGGCCCCCGGGGCCAGCCTGGAAATATTAAAGGACCAGCCTGTGGTCCCCTGGCATCTAAACTGGGTTGTGTGTAGCCCCCTGTGCCTTGATTTCACCCTCCATGGCCTCCTGCAGCACTCTGCTGGCCAATAACAGGGGCAAAAACGGGCCAAAAACGGGCCTGGCAGAGTGCTGCAGGAGACCATGGGGGGGTAAAAACGAGGGACAGGGGGCCCCGTATATGGACCCCCATGCCCCGTTTTGGTCGGCAGGGTGCAATAGGAGGCATCCATCCCACTCCCCACTCCTCCCTCCTGCTGGCGCGGAGTACTACAATGTTGATCTGGCCCTTGAAGAAATCCAGTTTGACACCCCTGGTCTAATAGCTCCCGATTCCGGTTGTGATCATGTGATCACATTTTGGAAACAAATTCACTTAAATGGCCTTTGCAGCATACGTACTTCAGTGCTTTTTTGTGCTTTTTTGCTGGTTTCTAGCAATTACTTCTAGTAAAAACAATGCCCATTGGATAAAACAATTCACTCTACAACCACTGCAAAAAAAAGGCCATAAAATCAACTGCAGTTACTTGGCGTTCTGCTTAATGACAGCAAAGACTTACAACTGTAATTTTGGTCTCAGTGAAAGGCATTAATTGAGGACTATGTGTATTCTATACTGGATTTTATATTTTTCAGATATGGGTAAGCAATCTTAAAATCACGCCTTAAAATGCATACATTTTTGGAACCTTTAAATTGGTCTAAGAAAGATGTAATTGAATACATATTTTAAGGACAATGCAATTCTGTAGACTTGCTTTAAAAAAATGAAAAGAACTTAAAAATATAAAAGAGCTGAGTTCTTTTCTTTTGTGCAGTGTTGGCAGGTTTCCCCAAGACTCTTTCAGTTTGCTTAAATGCTGCTTTTTCACCCTATTTATGTGACATATCAGAGGAAGAGGAGCCTCAATACATTATATTACCTGTTAACCTGGCATTGCCTGGATAGTTGTTTATCCCAATCCTGTATTAGAAATTCACAAATGTCCGGACCAAACGTAATTTCTAATGTTGGATTTTCCCCCTTACCAGAGTGAGCCCCCTTGTGGAGCACTATGAATCCGTTACCGTGGCAACTCCACTGTGCTGTGCAGTAGAAGCCATTTTAAAGCACAACAGCAGAGGTGGGTTCTTATTGGTTCCGACCGGTTTGGATGAGTAGGTAGTAACTCAGCCGACCATGCCCCCGAACCGGTTCTTGTTTTTTCTGTTTTTGTTTTTGTTTGCTTCTGCGCATGCACAGAAGCATTTTTTTTTACTATTGTGCATGTGCGTGTAATGCGTGCGTGCCCAAAGCACGTCTCTGAGCAAACCGGCAGTAGAAGAAGCTGGAACTCATCCCTGCACAACAGGCTGTATCTTATCAGAACACACACCTCGAGGGGTATTAGGGATATCTTATCCCCCACAGTATTTGTTTCCAGAGAGTAAGTTATCTGTGTACCAAGTTTGGTTGAAATTGCTCGAGCCATTCCAGAGTTATGCTGGAACATACACACGCACAGCCATTTTTATATATGTAGATGATAGATGATGAAGAATGCCAATGTTGCATACCTCTGCAAGCTGGTGATGAGATAAGTGCAGGTTGTAGCTTTGTTTGAAATTGTATCACCTGCTTTCTTTAAACCAGAGACATCTTCCACCTGATTCCACTGCGGCCTTATTTGACCTATGTGCAGAAAAACACATCTTGTTCCCCCCCCAAAAAACAATGTGTTTTTTCCCTGCTGCAAAATCCAAAAGTGTGAGTCATAATGACAAGGCAACTGGACTGATAACAATAAGATGAAGTGAAAGGAATGCTCGATAGACCAATGAGGAAGTGGAGAATCCATTTATACTGAGATGGTAGCAGCTATGTACTGTTAGCAAAATGAACTGTAAATGCAATGCCTTTTCAAAACTCTGCCTGGGTCTAAAATATGCACAAGTCCCCCCCATCATCTTGTACCTATATTTTCTCTCTATTGTCCTCTAAAGTCAATAAGCCGGGACTCTCTGCATTACATTTTGAAGCAGAGGTGAAATTAACATACCTTTGCTACTGGCTCGCAAATATGAGCGTATGTTCATATGAGTGTCAAAAATGGGTCATGAGGATGTCCGGGCGGGTGGGCGGAGCCTCCTGCCACCACCACTACTGATTCACCTAAATCAGATAGAACCGGCTGAATTGTTTTGAGGGATTATTGTTGTGGTAGTGACTGAAAAACACCAATATGTCCGAATACCAATATCTTTGAAAGATGAGTCATACTTTGGGTGAGGTCTCCATCAGTGGTGGTATCTGGAGCAATTGCTCTGATAGCTTCTGCCTTTCTGTATCAGCGCCCTTCAACCTCTTGCCATTTCCAAGACTACATCATGCTACAAGAGTCTCTTATCTTTTGCCCTTGTGCTGCCTCATGCTATAGTACCAGAACCATTTCCCTTCATTGTGCTTGCTGGTATCTATCACTGGCTTTGGGTATTTAATATACATCTCCATTGAGCTTGTATGTAATGCTTTCATTTTGTTTTGGTTAAATGTTGTCTGTCTTTCTCTCTTTCTTTTTCTCTCTCTCTGTCTGTCTGGGCTTTTTTCTTGTTTGTCCATCCTGTTGTGCTGTTCCTGCTGTGGCTACTCATTTCCTGCTGCCTATAGCATCCAAAAAGTGCCACCCGCCGACCTGAGGAGAGTTTCGGCTCCCCCTGATTCTTTCACCATGTGAGTACTTCTCTTTCCCTTCCCTATTTTTAAAGTATCACCCCTTTCTTTCAGGCTCCACCTTCTTCTCCCTCTCCGCATGGTTTGTGTAGCATGAATCCTGTAGTCCTCTGGAAATGCTTTCGACAAAGCTAGCATTTCCAGCAATGCAGTATGGCAACCAGTTCCTGAAACTGAGACTGAACAAAAGTTACTTGTTCTAGTGTTGTTTGTTGAGAACTCTGAGCTCCTGAGCAGTGGTGGGATTCAAAAAAAAATTATTACCTGTGCTGTGCACATGGCTTTGTGGGCATGGCAGGGGAAGGATAGTGCAAAATCCCCATTCCCTCCCCATCCCACTAACCTGCTTTGGAGCTCCGTTTTCCTGTTCAGGGCAACAAAAGAAGATTAGGTAACAGGGGAGGGGCCAGCCTGTTTGCCGGTTCTCCGGACTACTCAAAATTTCTGCTACCAGTTCTCCAGAACTGGTTAGAACTGGCTGAATACCACCTCTGCTCCTGAGTAATCGCAGGAAAATTCATAGTCTAATTTTGTAAGGGTCACACCTGAAGTGAAATTACTTGAATGTAAGTGGAGGGCAACAGCATTCCAATTTCTTTGGCCTTTTGTAGTCCTTTTTAATAACCCGATAGAATATAAGCTTACAGACTGTGTAATTCAATCTTAAGTAGTTACAGCCTGCCTTTTTTTAAAACTTCTTCTGATACCTGAGAAGAAAGGCCCTTGAGGAATAACAGCCACTGCTTCCAGAGACAATTCATATGGACTGAAGCATAACGAAACATTATTCTTTCTCAAGATCCTGAGAGAGAACTGTTGTCAAAAAGCAACAGTCGAGCAGTTTACACGTTCCACTTTTCCTTCACAAGGTTCAGAACACATGCATGATACCTGTTTTCCTTGAAACACCTGTTTCCCACATAGCCTTTCATAAGCTAAATTCCCATTCCCATTGGAATGAACATGATTTCCTCATTGCTGAATGGAAATGCACTTCGTCTATTCCTCGGATGACAGAAGAGTAGCCTGGTGTGAAATTTGCTGTCCTCATTTCCAATCCCTCCTCATCCTTCTGTGTCAAGTGGCTGCAGTCATCTGACTTTCTTACAACATAAAGTGTGACAAAGCATAGCAGATTTTAAACTCCTTTGGGGCTGCCCTTGGATAGTGTTAGAATAAGCGGGAAAACACCAGGCTACGGTTGATGTAAAATGCCCTCATCGATGTATGGGAATGAAAATAAAAGAGACAAAGTTGCAGGGATACTGCAGAAAAAAGATGTTTTCGGGGCATGTTCTTTCCATCTCATAAGCTATTCAGAGCAGAAATTGCTCAGGGGAAAGAATTATGACATATTTTACAAAGCACCGTGTCTGCTGATTCTGTTACATTGGTATGTCAATCAATCAAATGCAGACTAAAAATTGGAGCTCTTGAAGCACAGAGTTGGTGGTGGGATCCATGAATACTCTGCGTATTCTTTCCTGAAAGCCATAGAAAGATGTTATGAACTGAGACCATGATTGTACAAACTGAGTTTCATCCAGGGGTGGTATTTACCTACCTTCTCTACCGGTTCGCAAATGTGAGCGTGCACGCCTGCAGCCGACCTCTACGCATGTGCTGAGCCTTCTGTGCATGCGCTTTTTTCTAAAAAGGGCCTAAATTCATCCCACTTTGTGTAAATCATCCCAAATAGTGTTCTTCTGGCATATGTACAATGCAAGCAGCAGCTACAACCCAACTACTGTAGGCATGTAGGCATGCAGGTAGGTAGATGGATGGATGGAGAAAGAGAGAGAGAGAGAGACAGACAGACAGACACGCACACAAAGAGAGAGAGAGGAAGAGAGAGAGAGAGAGAGAGAGAGAGAGAGAGATCTTGATTTAAGCAAGATTTAATGAAGAAGCATCATGTGATATGTTGGATGTAGGCTGAGCTATTTAGCTCAGCTATGTTTGCATGCTTAGTTAAATACTTTTAAGAATGCCTGCATAGAGCATGTATGTCGCTTAATAAGAAATCAAATTCTAGAATGAATTTAAAGAAGTAAGCGCTTCTAGAATCCCAATTCATTTAGATATTGGATCAAGGTATAAAGACAGTAGTAGGTTGTAGAAAATGGTTCAAATTATTCTATATCTCAAACCTGAGATCGATTAACCAAATTGTTTCATAACAACCAACTGTTAGCATGCCTAATAAATTAAAGCACTAACTCCAAAAGCATTATGAACGTTAGGTTTAGAGTGCTACTCACTATGCTATTCTGCTGCTTAGAGTCACTTGATGGGCAACATATACATTTAATCAATCAATAAAAAATAAAATACTCAGACTTTATCAAGATTGTTCTGAAAATCCCATTGAGACCAATGAGCAGACTTGATTTTGAGGAATATGAATGCTGGTAGGTAATTATTTAAAGCCCAAAATTCCAAAGGTATCATTTAGAATTAGCCTTGAATTTTGGACAGTGAAAGTTGTTTGAGGATTCTTTACATCATTAATTGTTGTTTTCTTTTCCCCCACAAAGACTAGGCTAGAGATACTGCAGTGCTTCAAAACCATGCTTTTTATAAAGACATTTGCTAATTGCATGCTTATAAAAATGTATATACTACATTCATCAACATTTCTCTGCTATAAATCAGCTCACAATTACAGGCTTTTTCCTCCCTTAGATTTTGGGCAGGAAAAAATAATAATTTATACAATTATAAAATGTTGGACGAGTTGGAAATTTTTATCCATTTCTTTTACAAATGCCAACAACAAAATTGCCACTAAATTGCTGATGGTAACTATTTATTTCTCTTCTGTCTATTGATTTACTATTCATCCATCCGTCATCCATTCATCCATTCTGATGGCTTTTTAGCACTGTTGAAACAATAACAGCCATAACTCCAAAATTATCCATCAGAAACCCAATTATTTATATCTGTGAAAATACAACATTCTTGTATTTCCCTCAAAAAATTGAATGTTCATCCATTCCTACTAATACATTGTACAATATTTCAGCAAGGTTTGTTAGAATAAAGGGTGTGCCCTTAAGAATAGAAAATAATGGAAGACAAACCATTAGATACACTTGTATTTATTTTGTTTCAGATTCCAATTCTTTAATAAAAACACTTGTTAAAGTGAAAAGTGAAACAAAATACAATGAAAGGTTATTTTCCATGTTCCAGCCAATCCCCCCTAATGTTTCTCTAAAGGTAAAGGTTCCCCTCGCACATGCGTGGTAGTCATTCCTGACTCTAGGGAGCGGTTCTTATCTCCATTTCAAAGCTGAATAAACAGCGCTGTCCGAATTAATTAATTTGGTTCCTTCAAAATCTCCAAAACTGAACACTTCAACAAGAGAATAATTATGGAAATATTGAAATAGAGAAACACCCCCACTACATGAATAAACATGACGATGCCTCTCCCCTACCAGACATCTGGAAACCAGACCTAGTCAACAAACCCATCCACCACCCAGGCTGTTACAACACAAAAAAACAATGGACACACAGCCAGCACCAATCAGCACCAAGCTACCAATCATGATTCAACACATACAATCCACTTACTGAAACAAAACCAGCACTCCACCTCCCACACCAAGCTTTATAGAAAGATGGCAGCTCCGACCACACTTTAAGCTGAAAACCCCAGCTTGAAGATGGCGAATGAGACCTCTAAAGATTTACAAGAATTGACTTGACATCCCTTTTAAGTCCTTGTCCCATTGAATATTTAGTTAATACAAGCAAACTTTTGCCCTTTTTTTGAGGGCGAAGACTGATTAGAAAAAAAATGATATCATTGTTTGTTTTCTAAAGGAACTTATAAGGCTCTTGTTTTCAAAAAGAAGAATAAAGTACTACTAGAAAGATAGGTAAATGAAGAAAGCAGCTGTGAATATGAACAGCGTATTTCCCGAGGTGTCAACTGGGAACATACTATATCAGTGGTTAATAAAATACTTTTTAAAAGTATCTGAACATTTTGGTAGAAATATCCATGGAAAAGGCAATCTCCTAGACACCCCTATGTTATAATTTGGCAGTAAATAAAATCATATGATGTTCAGTTTTAGGATTTAATGGATGTGTTGAAGGCAGGGAGACTTCTGATCTCTGAAGAAGGAATTTAAATTGGAAGATGTGTTATCCTACAACAATAGGAGCCGTGGTGGTGCAGTGGTTAGAGTATAGTACTGCAGGTTACTTCTGCTGATCACTGGCTGCCAGCAGTTCGGCAGATTGAATCTCACCAGGCTCAAGGTTGATTCAGCCTTCCATCCTTCCGAGGTGGGCAAAATGAGGGAATGTTCAAACATGAAACCATGTAACTAGAATATATCAAAAAGAACAAGGGATCTTATGGTTCCTGAAAGAATTTTTGTTAGCTTTGATGCAATAGTCTAAATTGTATCATTTACTGGTTGATCCATTAGGGTTCAGTAAAGACCAAGATATTTCCTAACTTACGTAAAAGGTAATCTTTGCCCAAACTCTACTATTCATAACTTATGGACATACTGTATGCATGTAATTTTCTTGACACAATATAGAAGTAATTTGACATTGCCTTCTTCCTAGACATTTTGGGTTTTTCACCCTAGCTTACATCCCAGAGTTTTCTCAGTGATCTCCCATCCAAATATTAACCAGGTCTGGTTTTGCTTAGCTTTTCAAGGTCAACCCAATACGATGTCAGAAACATAATAGAAGTATGGAACTATGTTATGAACATTTCCTGCTGCTCTGAATGATATACAATGGAGGTTGCACAGAAGAGTCACAAGCTGGACAAGTTTGCCTTTCTTGTTATCCCTTTGTGTCCATTTTGTCCTTAAACATATCTGCATGGATATCTGTGGATGGATGCACAACACAACTGATGAAGTGGGCACTAGCTCCCAACCAGAACTCTTGTTTTCTTCTGGGTTGACATCTTATTTTGAATGAATAAAGTGTTTTCAATTGAAGCATCATATTTAATGCATATCACTTCTAAGTTCTGACAATGAAATCACACTAGCGAGGTTAATTATTTTTCTTTTGTAAGCTGGTGTTTTCCTTCTCCCTATTATTCTAAAAAGCAAGGACATTTAATTAGTTTTGCATGTTTATTGAGGAGATAAATAGTTCATTAATCTGTCATAGCGAACATGCCCCAGGAGAGCTCTGAATTTCCCAAAGTTTAATGTTGGGTTCTGTTTTTTAAAGAGGCAGATTTCCTATTGAATCATATTAAATGTAGGCTCTCGCCTGACAGCTATTTGCGAATAGATTCTTCCCCTGTTTTTCTATATACAGGATGTTATGGTTCACAGGATTTAAAAATAATTGTCAGAAAATGTGGATGCTTAAAATTAAATACTCCCTTTCAGTTGCATCACCCTAAACCTGTGGCAGAGGCATTGTTTGGGGTATCAGTTTCCTGCTCTGAATTCCACTAGATTAGATTCTTTCCTTTTCTTTTTACTTGTCACTTGGGCAGAAATGCATAGTCAAAATAGAATGGGCCCAGCATCTGAATAATTAAGCTGCCAGCACTAGAATTGCTTCCTTTGTTTCTTTAAATATGATTAGCCTGCTCTTACAATACAATAGCAGAGTTGGAAGGTCTTCTTGGAGGTCTTCTAGTCCAACCCCCTGCCTAGGGAGGAAACCCTATACCATTTCAGACAAATGGCTATCCAACATCTTCTTAAAGACTTCCAGTGTTGGAACATTCACAACTTCTGGAGGCATGCTCTTCCACTGATTTATTGTTTTAACTGTCAGGAAAGTTCTCCTCAATTCTAAGTTGCTTCTCTCCTTGATTAGTTTCCACCCATTGCTTCTTGTTCTACC